AAGGTCTTTATTGAATTTGTTCCAATATTGTTTCTGTTTTGTTTTTTTTTTATGTTTCGGTTTTTTGGCCGCAAGTCCTGTGGGATCTTAGCTCCCCGACCAGGGATCAAACCCACACCCCCTGCATTGGAAGGCGAAGTCTTAACCACTGGACTGCCAGGGAAGTCCCTATACTCTTGTTTTACACAGAATTGTTTTATACCGAACTTCAGAGAGGTTAAGTCACTAACATAGGGTCCCATGGCTGATAAAAATAGAAGTAGGATTCAAATCTAGCTCTTTCAGACTCCAAAGCCCATCCGTGTACTTTTTCTGCTGCACAGCTGGGTGCAGAGTCAGACTGTGTTTCCCAGAAAAGCCACGCCCCCTATCTCATGGTGAGCACTTCAGGAGTTGAGGCAATCGCCCTGCTCTCCCAAGCCCGACCTTCAGCTGGGCATTTAATCTGTTTATTAAGTTATGACTAATGGCGCCACGAGACACCGAGGGCTGCACATTCAGACCTAGTTTGAGATTGTTAGAGGAGGTTCGAGGGATAAACACCATATTCATATTCTATGCCGAGAAAATTCAATTGCAGCCCTTTCTCTTTCAGAGCACAAGGATGGCGAGGGGCTTCTGCTGGGTCCTGCTTTGGTTTAATAGAAATGAAACCTCCAAAGCACGCGGGCTGTTTTGGGAATGTGGCCACTAATGCAGCCCCATGGGGCAGGGGCCAGGCCTGAACCGGGCAGTTTGCATATTCACTTTTACAAACAGTTGGCTCCGAGTCAGCAGTTAATGGGATGGGAATGATGTTCCTGTACCAAATCATTTCCTGAAAAAAAAAAAAAACATTTCCAATTGCAAACATATCTCAGCCTTTCTTCTCGGGTTTGTTTTGTCTCTGTGAGTGAATTAAACAGGCAGGGCAGAGGGGAGTGTTTCTGACTGGGAATTTTTCATCTGAAAACATTTTTAACAATGATCTACACAGAAAAAGAGATCCCGGGCAGACCCACCTTTATATTTGGCTGCAAATATTGCATTTCTAGTCACATGTTAGAGGTGTAAATATCTCTATATTCACACATTGGCTCTGGCTGTACAACAGTCTTGGGACAGAGGCAGCTTTTTTCTCTTTACACAATGTATGCTGGAGGGCTTCCCTGGTGGTGCAGTGGTTGAGAGTCCGCCTGCTGATGCAGGGGACACGGGTTCGTGCCCCGGTCCGGGAAGATCCCACATGCCGCGGAGCGGCTGGGTCCGTGAGCCGTGGCCGCTGAGCCTGCGCGTCCGGAGCCTGTGCTCCGCAACGGGAGAGGCCACAACAGCGAGAGGCCTGCGTACCGTAAAAACAAACAAACAAAAAAAATTGCAAAAGTCGGGCTTCCCTGGTGGCGCAGTGGTTGAGAGTCCTCCTGCTGATTCAGGGGACCCGGGTTCGTACCCCGGTCCGGGAAGATCCCACATGCCGCGGAGCGGCTGGGCCCGTGAGCCATGGCCGCCGAGCCTGCGCGTCCGGAGCCTGTGCTCCGCGGCGGGAGAGGCCACAACAGTGAGAGGCCCACGTACCCCACACAAAAAAAAAAAAAATGCTGGAAATGCTACCCTAGAAATGTGCCCACGAACGCACACACAGGGTCAGGCCCAAATATAATTTTTTCCCCGAAGGACAGGCTGAAATCCTTCTTTACATCCTATACACTGCTTTGCTAAATTGTGCTTCAGCTTACAACCTGTGCAGTGGAAGGGTGGTCTTAACGGGTTTTTTCATTTATTCAACAAATGGTTCTTGAGTGCTTACCATTCTAAGTAATAATAGTAAATAATTACATAGCTCTTACCGGGTACCAGACACTCTTCTAAGTGCTTTACATGTATTAACTCATTTAATCTTCTCAACAACCCTAGGAGGTAGGCAATATTATTATCGTCCCCATTTGCAGATAAGGAAACTGAGGTATAAGAGGTTGATGAACTTGCCCCAGGTCACATAGCTGGTAAGTGATAGAGCCTGGATTTGACTCTAGGCAGTCTGGCTCCTCTTCGGAGACTAATAACAAACAAAAGAGAAAAAGTGCCAGTCTTCCCACGGCTTACATTCTGTTAAGGGGGGATAGCTAACAAACAGAAATAATAGTTATTTCAGATCATGATGAGTGCTATGGAGAAAATACAATACAAGAGGGAGGCAGGGGGCTAATCAGAGGGTCCTGTAGGTCTTAGGAAGGAGTTGGGGTTTTATTCTGAGTATGATGGGAAGCCACAGGAAGGCTTAAAGCAGGAGAATGTATGATCCTGTTTATATCTTTATAGATCATTCTGATTGTGCTATAGGAAGTGACGGGAGCGGGGACAATGCACCAGAAAGCAGTGGGCTGGTTAGAAGGTGGTTCTGGTTTATTAGGTGAAAGATAATGGGGACCTGCACCAGGACGATGGTGGGGGGGGCTGGTGAGAAGTGGTTGGAATAGGGTCTAGGGTCCTGTTTTGGAGGTGGAGCCCACAAAACTTGCCGATGTACTGGCTACAAACGGTGAGGGAAAGAAGTGAAGGGTGATTCCTCAGATTTTGGCTTGAACCCTTATGCAAATGGTAGTGCCATTTACCGAGGAGGATAAGAGTAGGGGATGAACAGGTCTTGATATAGTGTTGCTATGGTGGGGGTGAGGGTGCTGAAAATCACGAGTTCTGTTTTGGATGTGTAAATTTGAGATCTCCACCAATAGACATAAGAGGAGGCATTGAGTCTAGAGCTCAGGGTCAGGCCTAGGCTGGAGATTCTGTTTGTTGTTTGTTTCTGGGTCTTGTTTTAATAATGGCTTGACTTCTGTTTTCACAACCCAGTGATGCTGGGTAAAATAAAACCAATAGAGAATAAATTAGGTCAAAGCTTGGTTGTTTTTGTACACGAAAAATATCTAGGAAGATGCTTCATTTTTATCCTATCTCTGATTCTGTTGTCTTGAATTCAGTTTTAGATAATTAAATCTTATTAATTTTAAAAATATATAATAAAGCATACATCAGGCGGGAGAGTTAAACACGGGCATCATCAGCATTTGGGTCTATGGGATTACCTAGAACAGCGCCATCCAACTGAATCTCCTGTGAGGAAGTCTACATTCTCACCGTCCAGTGTGGTACCACTTGCCCCATGTGGGCCATTGAGCGCTCGAAATGTGACAGGCGCAACTAAGAGACTGAACTTTAAATTCATTTAAACGTCAGTAGCCACATGTGGTTAATGGCTACTGTATTGGACAGCACAGACCTGGCCGGGGGTGGTGGCGGGGGGCGGACACGGGAAGGAGATACAGATGGCAGTGAGAGCTAGTCTCTTCAATGGCCAGTAAACCCAGTCTCACACCCACACTGAAACGTGACTTTATTTCCACTGCCCGTTGCTTGCGTAGCAGTGCTTGTTAAGTAGTGGAAATCTTGCTTCTTTGTAAGAAACAGCCTGAAAAAGAAGGCAAACTGCTAGTCCTAGGAGGAGTGCTGGGAGACATTATAGAGTCTAACAGGAAGCAGTTGGTCTTCGCTGGAAAGCAAATGCAATCCTATACCTGTAGAATGACTTAAGCCTTGAAGGTGTCACTTAACATTTTTCAGTTATGTTTTATGGGGGTGGGGGGAATTATATAGAGCGGTGGGTGTCTGTGGATTTGGAGATTCAAGATGGTGACTGGCTGATATCCCATATGAATGTCAAGATCCCACAGCAACAGGACTAAATACCAGCTTCATAATGCGAGTTGTGTCCTTTAGGGCAGAGTGGGTTTCACTCCCTTTCTTAGGCAATCGCGTTCCCTGTCCAGCTGCAACAATCAGTGAGTTTGCTAATATGAAAGAACTCTTTGTAAGCAACTGCCTTGTGCTTAAGAGTTCTTGCAAGTATATGCTGGCGATCGGTGAGGCCGTAGTCAATAAACATAAATAAAATGGAAAGATGGGACATTGCTTTTACTAAAGGTTGATCGCAGCTGCCATATCAGCTCTTTGAGAGCCCTTTGGTGATCAGTGCTTTCAGAGAAAATGGTCATTCTGTGCTTAATTGGTGCAAAGTAATTACTCAAACTGGAATTGAGTAGAGGTGAGGGGATTTGAGCTTTTAGGAGAGGTAAAAATCCAAGATAAGTGCTCAGCAAGGGTCCATCACACAACTGGTTTTGTGGTAGGGATTTTTATTGTTTACTAAGCCTTCATGTGAGGGTTCAGTGCATGGAGGGAGCAGGCTGGAAGTCTTTAGTGGTCATGGACCTCTTGTTATCTTTCTTGAGAACAGTGGAATCATAGATTTCTAAGATTTGGGAAGTGAGAAAGAACTTACTGGTCATCCTGTTCAGCTCTTCGTGTTCAGCTGAGGGAACGGGCCTGGAGAGGTGAGGTGCCTGGCCACAGGGCCCATGATTCCTTACAGCTGAAGGGACAGGTCCAGAGCCCAGGGAGAGGCCAGAATGAGGTACTCTCAAGCAGCAGCTGGGGCCAGGTGAAGGAGGGAGGCGGGATAATCAGAAAAATACTCAGGGAAGCCGAATCAGGAGAGAAGTCAGAGGAGGGTTGAACTGAGGATGGAAATGATCTACAACATAAATGTAGCCTCAACGTGGGGACCTCCTTCATTCAGTCAACAAAGAGTTGTCAGGTGCACGCTGCACCAGATGGCAGGCCCTGGAAGGAGGGACAGGCAGGAGGCAACGTTAGAGACTTAAGAAAAACTGCAGTGCCCACCTCCCTTCTGTTTATCCCGAGATCATTTCCGAAAGGAGGCAGATTTCTGTGCCCTATTTCTCCAGGAAAGCGAGTGAGGTGACGGTCAGAAGAGGTGAGATGAAGGGGACAGTTTGGTCCTTTTAGCAAGGAGAGGCAGGAATCGGATGCAGGCTGAGTCACAGCTATAGGCTAACCTTGGTGCTTTTATTTCTCAATCCACATTGATACGGAACACGACTGTTACGAGCCCCAGCCCTTGTTGTCTGTGGGCTACAGTGTGACTCTGTGCTTCCTTCTTGCAGTGTCAGAGCTTCAGGAGGAGGGCATGAACGCCATCAACCTGCCCCTCAGCCCCATCCCCTTCGAGCTGGACCCTGAGGACACAATGCTGGGTAACAGGGTCTCTTGTTCTCTGGGTTAGCCTAATGCCTCCAGGCGGGACCACCCCGCTGACTGTCTTTTCTTTCTAAAGAGGAGAACGAAGTACGAACAATGGTGGACCCCAACTCACGCAGCGACCCCAAACTTCAAGAACTGATAAAGGTAAGAGGAAGTTAGAAGGGGCTTCAGGTGCCCCCCAGACTCAACAGGTGTTTCTAGACCACCCACCCTGTGCAGGCACCACACGAGCCACTGCGGAGAGAATAGAAAGGCATGGCAGTCCCTGCCCACAGGCAGCTCGCAGTCCAGTAGGTGGACATCTACAAGTTAACAGAAGTGGGACGTGACAAGTGCCCAACGAATGGTGTTGACCATAAGCACTGGAGAAGTTAGCTCAAATCAGTTGCCATTTGCCAGGATCCTAGAGCTCACACAGTCCTTGCACCACTCTTCTCAAGGTCCCTCAGAAGCACCCTGTGAAGTAAGATCTAGTATCATCCCCATTTTACGTATGAGGAAACTGAGGCTCAGGAAAGCCAGATGGTTTGTTTATGGTCGCAGCTGAGTGGAGGAGATGAGGTTCAAACAGAAATGAATGAGGTGAAATGAAATACTGTGCATAATGTACTTGGCACAGTGGCTGGCAAATGGTCACCCTCAAAAAATGTTCATTTCATCCCCCTTCTGATTCCTTGTCCTGTGTCTTTCTTCAGCTTCCTCAAGCTGCACTTAGAACAAAACGGCACTGGGTGTCAGTGATTCATTCAAAATGCAAATCTGAATATATCATTTTCCTGTTCAAAACCTGTATGTAGTTTCCTAAGAAGGGCAGGTTGAAGCCCACAGTCCTGGGGGTGGTGTCTGAAGCCTCCATGCCTAGCTGCCTCTTTAACCTCAGATAACCCCTGCCTGACAACACAAGGACACCGGATCTGTTCGGCTTGACTCCCCGTACACACCTGCTCACCGTGCTTGCTTCGGCACTGCCACCACCAGGCCTTTGGTCATGCAGCCCCTCCCCCAGGGGCTCTACCTGCTCTTCACCTGAAGCCAAAGTTGGGTCACGTCCTCCAGGAAGCTTTCTCTAAACCCCAGGGCTGTCACTCAGCCCCTCTGTGTGCTGCTGTGGTTCATGCATTTAGTTCTGTCACTGTAGTCACCACATGGCGTTACACCTACTCATGTATACTTCTCTGTCTCCTTCACTAAATGGTGAGCTGCTGGGGGTTAAAGATTGTCTCTTTTTTTCATCATTGTACTCCCAGGATCCAGCACAGAGTATGACATACAGCGGGTATTAATAAATGCTGGGTGGGTAGATGTTGGATGGATGCATGCATGCATGGATGGATGGATGGTTGAGGGAGAGAGGGAGGGAGTGGGAAGGAAGGTAGGGGAAGGGGAAGAGAGGGGAGGGAAGGAGGGAGGAAGGGGAAAAGGAAGCTCCTGCCTTAGGACAGTAGAACCATGTGCTCTGAAGGCACAGGGCTACAGCCAGGGATGGAAACCTAGCCCAGCTCCCACCTGTGTTGTAAAGGCAATTACTTCTGCCAAGTCAAAGAAGTCAAACACAAAAGATGATGCTCCTTATAGGTGAAATGGTCGAAAAGGCAAAACTGTAGTGGTTGCCTGAGGCCTGTGATCAGGGGAGGGGACGGAGCACAAAGAAACCAAAGGAACCTTCTTCGGGCTAGGGAACTGTTCTGTGTCCTGATTGTGGTGGTGGTTACACAACCGTGTACAGTGACCAAAACTCATCCAACTGTGTCCTTAAAATTAGTTAATTTTATTTTATATAAATAATATCTTCATAAGCAAAACAAGAGGTTAAAATTAAAAAGGCAGGGCTTCCCTGGTGGCGCAGTGGTTGAGAGTCCGCCTGCCGATGCAGGGGACGTGGGTTGGTGCCCCGGTCCCGGAGGATCCCACATGCCGCGGACCGGCTGGGCCCGTGAGCCATGGCCGCTGAGCCTGCGCGTCCGGAGCCTGTGCTCCGCAACGGGAGAGGCCACCACAGTGAGAGGCCCGCGTACCGCAAAAAAAATTAAAAAGGCAATGGCCTTGTGCAAACTTCAGTTTCCTTACCTAATGCTACCTGCCTCCCGGGTGTTGTGTGGATTAATTTGGTGAGACATCACCTGGAATGCCTCTGCTGGGTGCCTGGTGTACGGAGGACTCTCAGGGAATGACGGGGGCTAAGTTACAGACAAGGCAGGAGACTGCACAGCCCCACTGAGAGGGAGCCTGGTGCAGGGAGAACATGTGCTTTGGAGTGAGGTGGACAAGAGTCCGATTCCTGTCTCCGCTCACGGTTAGCTCTGTCCTGGGGCAGATATGTTTACTTCTGTGTTTGATTTCCCCTCCTGAACACAGTAACCACCTGGCCAGATGTCACAACGGGAGAGTGCTTTACTTATGAATAAAATCTGCCCTTACTGACCGTTTGGTCCTTGCCGCATGTAATTTTTTTTTTTTTTTTTTTTTTTTTTTGGCTACTCTGCACGGCATGCGGGATCTTAGTTCCCTGACCAGGGATCGAACCCATGCCCCCTGCAGTGGAAGCGCGGAGTCCTAACCACTGGACCACCAGGGAATTCCTGTAATTCTTTTCTACCACTTAGTGTGGGAGGTATCTTCAACCTCAGTTATAGAGGTGGGGAATCAGAGGCTCAGAGCAGATAACTAGCTTGCCTTAGATTCATAGGTCACAGAGGTACACATGCAGAGGTCCATGGATGACAGGTACACACACACACACACACACACACACACACACACACACACACACACGTCCATAGATCCCAGAGATGCGCAAATTAATTAGTAGGTAAAGTGGGGTTTTCAACCTCAGTGTGCATAACTCCAAAGCCCATACTCTTGCCGGTACAAAACCACCGAGCCAAGCACTGTGCAAACATTGCTTGCCATTCGGGGAAGGAATGGTAGCGGCCACATGTATTAGCAGAGACACTGGTGCCATCAGCACTAGAAGACCTCATACCTGAAAGTTAACAGGGCTGCTGGGGCTCCCACTTACAGCTACTTGTCCACATACTGGGTCATTTGGATAGTTTTGTTCCTTTCAAAATCTGAAGTTCATTTAAATTTTAACTGTCCAGGATGAGAAAGCTGTTCTATAAGAAAATACCCCATGACTCTTCTCTTATTCTCTCTCTCTCTGTGTAGGTATTAATTGACTGGATTAATGATGTTTTGGTTGGAGAAAGAATCATTGTGAAAGACCTAGCTGAAGATTTATATGATGGCCAAGTCCTGCAGAAGCTTTTTGGTAAGAGGAGAGTTGAATATTGCAGTGGATGTCTTTAATCTCCTAGTTTAGAGTTGTTCTCCGTTCACAGCAGTCCACCTGGAGTGGAGTAGGAATGGGTCCTGCGTGGGATAACAGATCAGTTAGATGTCCTCTTGGAATGTTTTACATGAATGCATTGCAAAGGGAGTCTTTGTGACCAGATGGGGCTACTCCCCCTCACAGACGAGGGTCATCAGCATGGAAAGACTCCACTGTACACTGGAATACATGCCTCGCCCTCTCCAGAAAATTGTGCTCCTGTGACCTCTGTAGGTCTATTTACATGTGTGTGGAGATGCATGTATGTTTTTATGTACCTCTCTCCTATGGATCTGTGTGTATGTATGTGTGTTTGTGTGTGTATGTGTACCTCTGTGATCTTTGGCCCCGTGTGTGTGTGTGTGTGTGTGTGTGTGTGTGTGTGTGTGTGTGTGGTGTTCCTCTACGTATCTCTCTCTAGGTTGGTGCAAGTATGCGGAAGTATGTGCTTTATGATGCTTGGCCCCTGTGTGTCTCCAGGTAACTTGCATCTGGAAGGGTATGTGTCCCTGTATCCATTCATACCTGCCGTGTGAAAGAGTGGAGGAGGCGGGGACGGGAGACTTCGGGGTGAGGTTGGTGATGAAAGGACAGATTCAACTTGACTGGATTTGGACTTCCCCTCTCTGCACCCCACTTTCTCTCATCCTAACCACTGCCCCAAGTTCTAGACTTTCATTCTTAGCTGCCCACTCCACTCGGCACCTCCACCTGCGTGCACCTCAGCTGAGCTCGTCCACTTTCCTGAAGATGTTCCTGCCCCTCTGAGTGACTAGAACCCCTTCCCCTCTTCCTTGCCCCCCCATAGCTGTGGGGCAGGGCGGGGGGGACTCCAAGGCCCATTTCTTACTCAGAATTCTCTCCCGCATTCCTCCTCCCTGCAATTTTCACTTGTCTGAACTGTTGAAACAATTTCCCAGCTCACCTCTTTGCTTCCCACCTCACCTCCTCCAACCCGTTCCCCACACAGCTAGCTGAGGAACCTTTTTTAATTGCAAGTCTCATCTTGCCAGTACTCACTCTCCCCTACCTGTGGGACAAAGTCCAGGCCTATTAGTACAACATTCAAAGCATTTCATCATCCGATCCCCAGCTGCCTTGTCAGCCTCACCTCTGACCACTCACACACGGGGCTCATGCCATGTAAAGTGCTTAGAATAGCACCTGATACACAGTGAGTGCCCAGTCAGTGTCTTTCGTCATTTCATTGGTGGTTTTATTATGTTTATGAACACCATCACCACATTATGACATATTCACGCCTCGGGCATATTCACGCCTCTCGACGTCTGCACTTGCTATTCCTTCTGCCTCTAGGGCCTTTCTTCCTCCTTTATCCACCGAGGCAAACCATTATTGCTCACCTTTCCAATCTCTACAGTCAACTGAACGTGCCTCCCTCTAATACCCCTCACAACCCAGTCACATCTGGAAGGGATAGTCACGCTGTCGTCTGTGTTCCCTCAGAAACAGATACACACACATGTATACATAACATGCAGGTCTTTATTACGTGGATACACAGGTATGTACATAACATACGTACCTTTATTATATAGATACACATAGACATATACATAACATATGTGCCTTTGTTATATAGATATGCTCAGACGTATTCATAACATACGTGCCTTTGTTATACAGATACACAGATGTATACATAACATGATGCTTTATATATAGACACACACAGACATGTATACATAATATACATGGCTTTATTATTATAGGATATTCCATGTTGTTTGTAGCTGTTTATGTAAGTGTACGTGGGCTTCTCAAGGAAAGGAACCTCTTCGCATTTATTTATCCAGTCTTCTCCTGTACTAACATGTTGCCCAGCACTTAATCAATGTATATTGAATGAATGAATGAATAATATAAAATCTAGTAATTTCTAGGAAGCTAAGCCGATTCAGTACTCAAACGTCAATATTAATGAGTGTTCATATCTAAAGGCTTGTAAATGCAACTGAACACGGAGAGGAATGAAACATCTTTGGCACATGCAGATGTGAAAAAGCCGTGAGCCTCACTGAGCATCTCTCCTAGTGACTGTAGCTTTTAACCCCGCCAGCAAATTTCTAGTTGGGATCTGAAACTGCCTGGAAGTGTTCTACGCTGGGCTTTGAAAGCAGGGGTGGGACATGGCTGCGCAGTGATGGAACGTGGTCATGAGCAATCTCACCTCCGGGAATGGTTACAAAACTGTCCAGCAGGGCTTCCCTGGTGCCGCAGTGGTTGAGAGTCCACCTGCCGATGCAGGGGACGCAGGTTCGTGCCCCGGTCCGGGAGGATCCCACATGCCGTGGAGCGGCTGGGCCCGTGAGCCATGGCTGCTGAGCCTGCGCGTCCAGAGCCTGTGCTCCGCAACGGGAGAGGCCGCAACAGTGAGAGGCCCGCGTACCGCGAAAACAAAAACAAAAACAAAAACAAAAAACTGTCCAGCATCATCCGTGCCGCCCCAAGTCAGGCATCAAGTACAGTCAGGTTAGATCATCTCAGATCTCAATGTTCATGTTGAAAATGTGATTCAGAGCGGAGGTGATGCCTCTTTTGTCAACTTAAGTGTAGAACCGTTGTAGGTCTAAGGCTAGACGTACACAAGCTACAGGCAGAGTATCCAGTGGAGAGGACTAGTTTGCCGTTGAAAATATGTGTCAGGAGCTCCTGGGAGGAATCAGTCTGAAGACGGAGTTTTGGGTGACCCCTCTGACCTTGAGTTCCCCTCTGGCTATTTTTCTTTCTTCTTTCCCAACCACATTTCTCAAGATAATGTCTGGCACTCCCCGTTCTGCTTTCCCACCACTAAGTATTCACTCCTTAGGTACAGGCTGGGTGCCACCACCTTCCCATCAACTTTTCCTTCCCAGGTCACCAGTGTCAATTGAGAGCTCTTCTTACGTGGTGGCATTTGACACTACTGAACACCTCACCCCCCCACCCCAGCCGACGGTTTCTGTGACCTGATGCTCCTCGGGTCCTCTTCCGCCTCTGACACCCACTTCTCAGTCCTCTTCGTCTGTTCTTCTTTCGGTAATGGTTGGGGTTCCTCCACCTTCCATCCTTGGCCCCCTTCTCTTTTTCTTTCATACCTATAGCTTCAACCATCAGCTATATGATCATCATTCTCAGGTCTCTATCTCTGGAACGGCTTTCTCTTTGAAGCTGTAAGTAAGGTTATCTTTTACCTGCCCACCTGGCTGTCACACAGGCACCTATAACCAGCCTGCCCCAAACTGAACTTATCTTCCTCCTCCCCAAGCCCAATCTGTTTTCCTCCTTGAGGAATGCTATTATGACCACAGATGACAAACGTGGGGGTCATTGTGGATAGCTCTTTCTTCTTCCCTCATATTCTGTTAGTCACAGTTCTGACAACTGTGTTCCCGTGTGTGTGTGTGTGTGTGTGTGTGTGTGTGTGTGTCAAACCGTCCCATTTCTTAATCGGTTAGTACACGTGCAGCACTTGGAAAAGTGCCTGGCTCACTGTGTGCTAGGTCAGGGGTGGCTTTCAAAAACTTTTCCAGCCCCACCGCTTCCTCCTTAGCTCAGAACCTCATCATTTGTCTTAACTTCTCTGGCTCCAAAATCCTTTTGTCACATTAAGCTGTTTCCTGCCTTGGTGGCACTCTGAAGTTCTCCCAGTTTTCGATACGCGGGCCTCTCACTGTTGCGGCCTCTCCCGTTGTGGAGCACAGGCTCCGGACGCGCAGGCCCAGTGGCCATGGCTCACGGGCCCAGCCACTCCGCGGCATGTGGGATCCTCCCGGACCGGGGCACGAACCCGCATCCCCTGCATCGGCAGGCGGACTCTCAACCACTGCGCCACCAGGGAAGCCCCCAGATCTTCTTTATATTTCACTATTTGTCTTAACACTTAAACCCATAGCCCATTTGTCAATGTTTCTTTAAGACTTTTTTATTTTGAACTAATTTTATTTATTTATTTATTTTTAATGTTATTTACTTTTGGCTGTGTTGGGTCTTCTTTGCTGTGTGTGGGCTTTCTCTAGTACCTGCGAGCAGGGGCTACTCCTTGTTGTGGTGTGCAGGTTTCTCATTACGGAGCCTCTCTTGTTGCGGAGCACGGGCTCTAGGCACGCGGACTTAAGTAGTTGCGGCACACGGGCTCAGTAGTTGTGGCGCACGATCTCTAGAGCGCAGCCTCAGTAGTTGTGGCACATGGGCTTAGCTGCTCGGCGGCAGGTGGGATCTTCCTGGACCAGGGCTCGAACCCGTGTCCGCTGTATTAGCAGGTGGATTCTTAACCACTGCGCCACCAGGGAAGCCCCTTGAACTAATTTTAGACTTATAGTAGAGCTGCAGAGACAGTCCAGAGAGTTCCTGTCTCCCGCTACTCAGCTTCCTCTAATGTTAGCATCTTACCAACCATAGCGCAAGCATCAAAACTAAGAAATTAACCTTGGGCTTCCAAGGTGATATGTTTTGGGGAAGGACACCACGGAGCTGATGTGTCCTCAGGGCATCGTATCAGGGCAGACACGATGTTAACATGTCTTAACACTGCTGATGTTAACATTGACCACTCGGTTAAGGTGGTGTCTGCCAGATTCCTTCACTGTAAAGTTGCTATTTTTCTCTTTGTTATTAATTTATTTGTGGGGAGATACTTTAAGACTTTGCAAATATCTTGCTTCTCCCTCCACTAATTGTAATTGGTGGAGCATGTCTGCCAGTTATTACTGTGGTGGCCTAGTGGAGGTTTTCTATTTTTCTAGTTTCCTATTCCTTCCACATTTATTAACTGGAAGTCTTCTGTAAGGAAAAGTTGTCCCTTGTCCCCCATTTACTTATTTATTCACATCAGTATGGATACAAAGATACTTATTATACTTTAGTTTATCATCAATGTTATCATTATTCATGTTTTGCTCATATACTTGCCCCTTTGACCACTAGGAGCTCTTTCAGGT